CCTGAACACAGACCTGTATGAAACCTAATGACAATAAAAAGGATAATTTCCTGTTTTAAATTTTCTGAAATTAATCCGGTTTCCAGCACTGAAAAATGAAAAATTTGGCAAATATGATCAAAAAATATTCTTACTTGGTATATGATTCATTTTGTAGTACTGGAAGGAATAAAATGTCTAGAAAGAACAACTATACACCAATGTCAATTAATTCAAAGGAAATTCATGCAATGTAGTCTGTAGGGGTTGATTCTCTGACCTCATAACTATTCAGTTTGACTTATGATTCTTTATGAAATGATTAATTTCCTTTGCATTTTGGAATTTCAGATATCAATACAAAAATTTTTGATGTAATAACTGTATCTATTAATTTGATACAATTATTACTGAATATTAATTCACTCAATACTGATGTATATAGATCATTCTACCATACTGCTTCACTGTCAGAGCTGAAAACTAACTGACTTGGACTTTAGACTACAACTTTGAGTCACAGTGTACCTTAATGATGTTTATTGTATTAAAACAAATGATTGAACATTCCATTTTGTCACTACTAATACAATAAAAGCACTACCATAGCTTTATTAAATGTTTCAGTGTTACAGTGTTTTAGGCAACATGGGGGGACCATGTAGGCCCACCACCCACAAGGTCCAGCATGGTGGTCCGCAGAGACTGGAGAGAGAGAGTTGGATCAGATGGCAGGGAAGACGGATGGTCAGACCCAGTAGGCCCAAGCAAATAGTGAGGGTGTGCTGGGAATGACTGTCAGAGGCCCCTGTTCAGAATGATTTTAACTCCCACTTCCGGGAGAGCTTTTCTCATGTTCCGGAGGAAGTAGGGGACATGGAGTCTGAATGGACCCTGTTCAAAACCTCCATTGCGGAAGCTGCCAGGTGTAGCTGTGGCCAAAAGCTTGTTCATGCCTGTCACGGTGGTAAACCAATAACACCCTTGTGGACACCAGTGATGAGGTGGGCCGTCAAGCTGAAGAAAGAGGCCTTTAGGGACTGGATGGAGGTAATGACTGGCAAAAAAGGCAGCAGCGGCAATGGTGGTGGATGCAAAATCCAGGGCATAGGAGGAGTTGGGCGAGGACATGAAAAAAGACTTTCGGTTGGCCTCAAGGAGGTTCTGGACAATTGTCCAGCGACTCAGGAGCATTCGGCTTGTCTCTACGAAGTTCCTCTTCAGAGCTGTTCATGATCACTATGTGCCATACATTCGACCATCCGGTCTATGGAGGAGTGGTAGGCCCCCGTCTCTTCCACCTCAGGCAGGGTAAGCACTCAGTGGCGAAGTACACGAGAGAGTGGGTGGGATGTTAAGGCTCTAATGACTCTAATGTCCAGCAAGACATATGTAGTGAGCTTAAAGATGAGTTGGTAACCGCTGGAGACATGCCTAAATCTCTTGAAGAACTCATCGAAGAGACATTAAAATTAAGCAGACATACTAGCTGATTTGCAGCTAGTATTAGGGTTCCCCTGACTGCAATGGCATAATCCATGCCCAGATTGACTGACCCAGTTTTTTAGTTGGACCTGTGCAGTGCCTACAACCTTATTCAAGTATGCCAGGGGGATGAATGGAAGACAGCATTCATTACACTGTCCGGCCATTAAGAATAACTTGTGATGCCTTTCGGTTTAATGAACACTCCTGCTGTCTTCCAACGCTTTATTAACAAGGTCCTGTATAAAAATCTTAACCACTATGTGTTGGTCTACCTAAGGGAACATCCTCATCTGCTGCACCTTGGTGAATGAGCACATAGTTTACATTTGCTGGGTACTCGAGGTTTTACCGGAAAAACAACTTTACATAAAATTGGAGAAATCCAGCTTTCATACTCAGTCGGTCAGCTTTGTCAGGTTCAGGGTCTCTGAGAACCATCTGATCAAGGACTAGGAAAAAATCCAGGCCATCACTAAGTGGCCATGTCCCACGTCTCTCCACTTTGTTCAAAGCTTTCTGGGCTTCACCAATGTTTATCACAGATTCATATGGAATTTCAGTACATTAGCCACACGATTAAATGCCCTAACTAAGAAGTACACAGGACATTAATTTGCTTGTTGCCACATAAAGTAGACCTGATGAGCCACTTTTTACACTGTACTTCTGCATTTGACAATTTAATTTCATACTCGAGTAGAAAAAATACTTTTTTTTAAATAAAATTGAAATAAGTATTTCATTACAATCTTGTTGGCTGAAATAATAAATATGTCACCATTGAAAATGGCACATCAGTACAACCTAAAATAATACTTCATGTTGTAACAAGTAAATTAACTAGTTTCATACAACCTGATTAAGTACATTGAGTTAATGATTCTTTTGTAATTTTTAATGAAACAATCTAATATTATTTTATGATTTTTTGATCTGACAAGCCATTTTTACAGTAATTTATTAGCAAATGAGTGATTGTTTTAACACACATATAGACACAAAAGCAGTAGATTAGCATTATGCATTTTTCATCTATTGTATATTACACTGTAAAAAGTGGCTTGTCAGATCTACCTAAAAAATGACATCATGTGGTAACAAATAAATTAACTAGTTTTATTCAACATAACGAATACTTAGAATGAACAATTTTTTCAATGTAGTTTTTTGAATTGAATAAAACTAGTTAATTTTTTTTTCAATTGAGCCACTTTTTACAGTGTAGAAATGTAGTAAATAGAGGGAAATAAATATACTATTTACCAAAAAAATGAAGTCTGCTGCTGTTAGCTCGGTGCTCTTCATGTGCAGAAAACCACTGCAGATTTGGAAACTAACTACAGAGCTGTTTTTGTGGGCAAGTGTTGTGGCTGATTGACCTAAATGCCCTATTTCTTGTCTTATCTTGTGCATTCTTTTTGTTCTGATTTTACAACTGAACTTTTTAAAAAAAAAATATTTGAGCTTTTACTTACAAACATTGTATTGGTGCTGCTCACTCACTTATGAATTCAGTTGCATGTAAACACATAGCATATTTAACATATTGCAACTGTACAATATATACATGTAAAAGTTTGTGAACCCATGGTTAAATGGCATATACTGTTGATTTTCTTAGTGTAAACAAGTTAACACAATGTTACACAATTTCTGTTTTTCTGGGGATTATTTCCCTAAATTTTCTTCCCAATGTAGCAATTTCCTGTTCCACTCACTTGTTAGGTCTCCCATAGTCACACAGTGATATTAGATTTTTTTGGACAGCAACAATATATATAACATGTTCAGTGTAAGACGTAAACAGTGAATATACAGCATTGTGCAGATGTCTGAGGAAATGTTTTGTAAAGCTGTTTATCTGGGCAGTAAGTGTTTACTTGTTCACAAAAACACTAACAGTATAATAAACACAAAGAAACAAATAGATAATTGATTGAGGAACCAAACCTATCCTTATCTGACTGTAACCTCCTAACATATTCATAACATTACTAAAAACAGCACATTTTAGTGTATTTATGTTTATTTGTATTTATTTGTATTTATTCTAACATTATATAATATACATTTAGGACAGGAATGTATTTAGAAGTTAAGAAAGATAAATTTAGAACTTAACACAAATATATTTACTCCGTAAAAGGTGGCTCATCAGATCCACCTAAAAATTACTTCATGTGGTAACAAGTAAATTAACTAGCTATATTCAACCTAAATTAAAAGTTTGAATGAACAATTCTTTCAATCTTTCAATGTATTTTTATTGAGTTGAATAAAACTAGTTAATTTACTTGTTACCACATGAAGGGATTTTTTAAGTAGATCTGACGAGCCACTTTTTACAGTCTAGGACTGAAAAAATAAATTTGAGAATTAACAGAAAAATAAAATATGAAACTTTATTAGAAATACAATCAGGACTTAACAGAAACATAAAATTAAGGACTTCTTAGAAACAAAATTAGGACTTTACAGAAACACAAAATTCGGACTTAATAGAAAAAAAATAGGACTTATACTGTAAAAAGTAAATTAACTAGTTTTATTCCACCTAAATAAATACTTTGAATGAACGATTTCAATCAATGTAATGTTTTGAGTTGAATAAAACTAGTACAGTTGCTTAATTTTTTAGGTTGATCTGATAAGCTTTTTTTTACAGTGTAACAGAAATATTTTCAAGATTTAAGAGAAATAAATTTAGGACTACACTGTAAAAAGTGGCTTGTCAGATCTACTTAAAAATGACTTCATGTGGTAACAAGCAATTGAACTAGTTTTATTCAACTCAAAAAAATGATGTTGATTGAAAGAATCACTCATTCAAACTATTTATGTTGAATAAAACTAGTTAATTTACTTGTTACCACATTAAGTAATTTTTAGGTAGATCTGATGAGCCACTTTTTACAGTGTAGGATAAATTTAGAGAAATAAAGTTTTGTACTAAACATACATGAACCGAGAATTGAACAGGGATGAACTTAGAACTTAACAGTACTATATGTAGAACGTAACAGGTATAATTTAGGGTGAGTTAAGCATTTTCCTCAGCCAGATTGTGTGATGATTCAGGATTGCTGATGATAAAAACAGCCTGTAACAGAAAGAACATCTCATCATTATTCACTCATCAAATTACTAGCATCACAGTGCACTCAGTGAATACTGTGTGACTGCTCACTTACAGCACTGGAGAGAGAAAAGTCAAATATCTGAGAACACATGGTGTTGAATGAACAAGAGAACAACAGACATTCACACTGTATTTCTTTCATATTTATATCGGATATATCGGAAGCAGACAGCTGGGATAGGCTCCAGCACCCCACCGCGACCCAGAAGGATAAGCGGTTTAGATGATGTATGTATGTATATCGGAAGCAGAATCTCACTGACCGGAGCTCCAGTGCAGCAGGTGGCTTTGCAGATGAATGCAGAAGTGCAGATGGAGACGATGAACTCGAGCACAGAGAACACCAGCAGAACTCCACTGATTCCGTGCAACACGCTCCAAATATTTTTAACCT